CTTTGTGCTAAATACAATAATAGACGGTATCAAGACTGATGGGAAAAATGTAGTAGTAGTAGCTTCGACCGGTGTTGCTGCCCTTCTGCTCGCAACAGGCCAAACTGCACACTCTGCCTTCAAATTGCCTATTGATCTTGGGCCGCAGACGAGTTGCGGAGTTGAGGACGGTACAATAATAAGTCGTCGGCTCCTCAGCGTGGACTTGATAATTTGGGACGAGATTGTGACAATGCATCGTTATGCGATTGAAGCGGTCGATAGACTATTTCAAAAGTTGATGTGCTCATCGCGACCATTTGGAGGCAAATGTGTACTGTTTGCTGGCGACTTTCGACAGACATTGCCAGTCGTTGGGGATGAGGAGTGTCCCCCATCAGCCCACGCAACCTTGAAATCTTCACACCTTTGGCCTCGGTTAAAGAAGTACGGTCTGTCTCAAAACATGCGTCTTGTGAGGAACGACGAAGGGATGAATGACGTGCGTGTGTTGGAATTTGGCCAGGAGTTGTTGGGTATAGGGGAAGGTATTGGACAAAGGGGATTTGAATCAAAGATTTCATTGAAATCTGTTGATGTGATAGAAACATTGTCTCCGGTAGATCTCATTAGTAAGGGAGTGAAGAAGATATATGACGACATAGGGTCATTGGCAGTCGAAGATGAAGTCAACCGTCTTGAGTACTTATCAACGCGGTGTATATTGACTCCTTTGAATGTCGATTCATGGGGAATCAATCGTTTTGTCTTGAAACTTATGGGCCAACCTATCACAGTATCGGTCTCTGTCGATAGGCCTGACGAAGAGGCAATCGACACGCTTCCTGAGGAAAGTTTGAATAATTTAGAATTCCCGGGTTTCCCTGAGCATCGGCTTCACCTCTGCGTCGGGATGCCAATAATGTTGTTAAGGAATCTCAATATTGCTCAAGGTCTCTGCAATGGGACGCGGTTGATGGTATCTAGATTGACGGATAGGACAATTGGCGCGAAATTTTTAACAGGGCCCAGGAAAGGGAAAGAGGTCATTCTGCCCAAAATCCTGCTTCGTCATGAAGGTGAATCAAAAGCAAAGGTGTCATTCTATCGCCATCAATTCCCAGTGGTATCATGTTTCGCAATGACGATTAATAAGAGCCAAGGTCAAACTCTCGGGAAAGTAGTTGTCATGTTGAAATCACAAGTTTTCGCCCATGGACAACTTTACGTAGCATTGTCAAGGGTCACGGATCCAGATAAGTTGATTGTTGTTCAACTCGGGTCAACTAAAAAGATTTCCAATGTTGTAAATAAAGAATTATTTTCTTAACAAAATGTTCACTGAATCTATTGTGTAGGCTGATGGCCTACAGGTTTCAGAAAATATTGGAGGATAGGAAGAGTGGAGTTGGAGGTGTAAGGAGATTTTAATCCTTTGAATTGCGTAGAGGATGGGCAAATGTCATGGAAAGTTGAAAGATTGTCATGACATTATTAGTTTGTATATAAATTATGAGGATTAATTGGAGAAGTTGACCTTGAAGTTAGAGAAAATTAGGGGGGTAAGACGGGTCAATATAGGTGGTTGATAAATGTAATATGTATGAATATAATGTTGAGGTCAAGATTGAGCTGTCGAACAAATGTGTGGTTGAAATTAAGGCATAAACAAGAAACAAGAGAGTGGGTGCAAATAACTTAAGCGTAGAGGTTGTATCGATTAAGCAATGGCAAAGACCTTTCAGGATATGATGAATTGAGAAAGGAAGGTGGAGGAATGTTTTAGAGGGGATGGGGCTTGGAGGATGAAAAAGATAGGTACTTATGTAATGGTTTTGGGTTGAGTTAGGAGAGGAGGGATCAGATGGGATGAGTTCAAATGTGAGAACTGAAGGTCGTAGGGAGTGGACGTATACATTATCAAAGGATAATAACATCAGCTTTAATTGTTTGGAGTACTGACTCTTGACTCAAAGAAGTTTTATTTGAAGATTGCTTGAACCGATGAACATAAAGGTATCGTCCTGTGGAGAATAAAAGATCGTCGTCCCTGCGTCCTCGGTGCATTGCGTTATGTGGCCATTGCATGGGTCACTTGTCGTCATCTTTATCTTTTTCGACTTTCCTTTTGTGTTAGAAAGGGTTGCATGGTTTGCCTGCCTGCCGCACTGCTTGCGTTGACGGGCAAAGCAACCTGAACCGCAACCATCACCTGAGTTGACATCGCCATGCCTGCCCGAAACTTACTACACCTTCCTCTCCCGTTTGACGAACTTACGAGGGGTCCTCCAGATGTACGTGGATGGGTCGTTGTTATGAACATAACCCCAAACATAGAAGTTGTGGCTCTTCATGAGCGAAATGTATGTCCTTGACATGAATCTGCGCACAGTGATCTTATACTGACCTTTTATTAGAGTATCAATTTGATACTCCTGCCCCCCGAAGGAACTCCTTCATCTACGCTTGAAAATGTGAATTTAGGTGATCGGATATGGATTATTGGTCATTCCCTCAACCAAAATCAATATGGTGTCGTTGTTGTTGTGGGTAAAGTTTTTAGGAAATGTGTCGGCCCGGTTACTAACATGTTCTGAGGTTTTTTTAGGTAACAACCATAGTCTTCAATGGAGAGAATGTCCCGCCAATTTTTTTTTGAAGTGGTCCCGCCTCTTGGTCTTATGAGGGATTGTTACGACATGAAATCAATCTTTAAATTTTATTAGAAAAGTATTGAACGCGTGATGTTTATCCAAATTTTCATCTGAACAATGTCTATTGGTTAAAATCGTAGGGGAATAGGGTTAACTGGGGAGTATTTTGACTTGATGTATACCGAAACATAACAGGGCGGCGCAGCCGCCCCTGAACCCTAGTTATATAATAAATATGGTCTTGCAAGCCCGTCTGGGCACAATCTCAAGTCCCGCGTGGCCGAGTGCCACCAGGGGTTTAGATTGTGCCCAGAGGGCTTGATCGGACAGGATGGGCGGGGGGCAGGACTTGGCACATAGCCAAGTCCCGCTGGGCCGATTGGTAGCCTGTGCACCATCCCGGCACTGGACCCCGGATCAGCAGATGGCCTTCTCGGGGGCCGGCATGTTGGCGGGTGTGGCACCCTCGCTTGATTTCGGCCAAGCGAGGCTTTGTCCCGACCCCCGCCAACTTTAGCATGTGCCAAGCGGGGGTTGGGATGGTGCCACGGAGGCTTTGGGATCGGCCAAGCGGGCTTTGGGATTGGCCCAGCGCGCTTGGCCTTTTTTTGACCAAACTTTGGTGTGTGCCCAGACGGGCTTGCAACACCATACAAGATTACAGAAATAGAGAGAGAAAATAAATAACAAACAAATAATCAGAATCACATAAGACAGAAAATTGATGAAAGCACAACCTTACACTATAATAGAATATTGATGAGATCACCAACAGGTGAACAAACAAAGTGGAGGTTTGTTTAAGATAAAAATGAAATACAAACTTGCTAGGTGAACATTAGTTAGACTCAGAGAAAACAGGCTACCTTGGTCTGTGAGGACCCTCAATCAAACCAGACTATGATGTCATAGTTGTTTTAGGGATAACCCCAGAGTAGAAGACAAGAATATTTAAGAAGGCAGTCCGAGAGATGAAAGAGAACTCTTCCTTTTCCCCAGCATAAATTACTAGTAAAAGATACAACAAAAACTACCAACTCAAAGAGCATTAACTAAAGGTTACATTTTAGAAATACCTCTTGCCTTGGGATCTGTTTAAATCTTTATCTCTAGTTACTACTGCCTCAATTCCTATCACCCGGTACAAGCCTAGGTAACACTGGTCTGTTACCCATTGCTTGTTATCTTCCTTCAGTCTGTTCCCAACTCGACTATCTGTCGACGATTGGATTGCCCTGGCTATTAAGCTACAGGAAGCTCGTGTAAGCCTCAAGCGCCCTTCAGTCCTGAGCAACGATTGATTAACTGATTATTATTATCATTTTCATACTCGTCTCAACGTCCACGGTTATAGCACTACGATCTCATTTCGTAAGTAGCACAAACCTGACAAGCACTCTCCACGGCTGGGAGGAATCCTCCCGGCCACTGGTTTTTTTTTTTTTGATCACCGACCCCCCAAAACAAGTGGTTTTGGGGCATCGACACCCAACCCCTCCGGGGTTTTTCTTTTTTTTTATTTAAATTTTTTGGGGGGACTGACTCCCAAACCCAAGGATGAATTTGGGGAATCGACTCCCAAATTTCGGGGAAACCCGGGTTTGGGAGTTGACTCTCCAATTTTTGGGAGTCGGTTGACCAACTCCCTTTTTGAAATTCAAGTTGAGATTTTTTTTTTTCAAAATCAGCAACTTTTGGCAAACTCTTTGATCACAATTTATAAGATAAATGATAATACGTACTCAAGTGATTTCCAGAGATTCATTGCATCTAGTGGGGTAAGATTTTTCTCGACAAATGCATCAAATTTTTTCCGGATGGATTCATTTTCAGAGCCACCAAATTCTACAATATTTCAGGTTCCTGTTTCGGGGTGAGCACCTTTTCTCTTCTAAACATGCATGTATGTTGATTTGATTGGAGAACAAGACTGGCGGTTACTTTTATCTAACTTCAGTATCATTAATTCTGATCTTTCTGATGAAGGAAGATGGATGCTTCACATTTTTGAACATGTAGATTCAATTCATTCAAGCTCATGATTGAGCTCTTGCATCCTGTGAAAATTTCCACTTCAGAATCAATATTTAGTTGTAAGGTCTAAATTTATATCTTATTATGGTCAATAACTAAAGAAGAACTACAATCAGCCCCAGACATTCACAGATTCTCAATCCCTTGGTCTCAATCTTGTCAGCTTATTCCAACTATTCAATCCAACTTGAGTTCATATGCACTGAATCCACCTGTGGTGTATTTTTTCATCCTTTATCCCCATTTCCCAATTCTGTTTTGTTTGATCATAAAGCAAAAATATAACAAACAGTTTCAACTCAATTTTAGTAAAACATGGTGATTGAAGCTCATTGACCATCCTGCTCAGTAAACACACCGGTAATTGATGCTTTCTAGCTTGATGAAGTTGTTGAAAGAAAAAGGAGGGAAAGAATCAAATATGTCAAGAGAATCCTACAGCCTGAGAAAAACAAAATGGGGCTACATGAGGATCCTAGTGCAAGTTGCACACAAAATTCACAATATTGTCACAAAACTACATTTGCTACAGTCACACATATTTTTGAGTTGACACATATATTCAGATCTTCCTTGATGTATGCAGTCAAAGAACATGATGACCCGGACCCTTCATTCGGGAGCCGGAAAGAATGTGGTCCTCGAAAGACCACTGCCGCCGGCCTTTGCCCTGCTTGGATCATCTGGATCAACAGACGCGAATGCTGAGGATCCTGCAGCTGCCAGCGGCTTGCCTCCGGCAGCTGCAAGTACATTCTTCGCGTATTGGCCACCTACATTCCCTTTCCTATTTGTTTTACATTTGACGCGTCAATCACATATCGAAGGAACTAGGAAAATTCATGATCCCAAAAATCACTTACGGATGATATTCGCAAGCCCAGAGCTTCACTGGCGCTTGGGGTAAATTGGATCCTTCAATTGTCTCGCATGATTTGACAGCACAGCCAATTTGCTCGGTTTCTTTCCATACAACCTCTGATGAAACATGGTCATGTCAATCGGGCTATATGGGTCTTTGATAGAAGTTGAACGAATTGGCTTGCTCACGTGTGAAATGTGTAGGAGTTGCCGAGTCGGGGCTAAATATATCACGTTCGTTTGGACCTTCAACCCAAGCAACAACGACTTCTGAAGGACTGTTTTGTCCAGCAGCAATATTCTAAATTTCCGGGACGGGCGGAGATTGTGGATCAGAACAATCAAGTTCAGTTTTATTCCAAGAATTATCTAATGCTAACCTCGCCATACTGGTTGTGCTTGGTGTGTTTCCATACGCATTTCTCTACTTCGCTTCTGGCTGCTTCTACAAGGTCCTCACTCCATGTCAGACTTTTAACCCCGTATTGTGATCGATAATTGTTGTGAGAATCCAGCCAACTGGTTATGTATTGAAAAGAATGCATCAGATTTGGCTCTATACAAAACTGCAGAAGCCAGATTAACTAACTCTTGATGTGAACCTGACGGTGATGGGGTAAGTTTTTTTGTCCCTCCAGTATCGCTATCCGACAACGCTGGTAGGCGGGAAGATTCTTTTTTATCTTCCTTATTGTCTGTGCTTTCTGGGTTGGGAGTGCTTAATAAAGATGGACTATCAGATTTGGTGCTTGAATACCTTGATGTATCTCCCGCGGATAAAGCGCTTGATCGAGGTAAACCAGGAGATTTGGTTACATTGGCATATTTCGGCTGGGGTGTAGGTGAAAGGTCTTTCGGAATGCTAGGCACTTCTACACTTGGTTTGGGAGGCGAGTACGTCTGTTCTTGTCGCACTGGCTTTGGTGGGCTGTTGACCACCGGGGTGGTGTTGGAGCTTCCGGGGACTGAGGCGAATTCATCACTGAAACCTGAGTCAGATCCTGCCCCCGACTGGCTTGCAGGAAATGTCGAAGATGAATCCCCGAAAGAGGCAGCTGAGTTATCTTGGTTATCATCAGAGCTACTCGAGTAGCAATACTGATAACTCCATGTACTCGCAGCCCCTTGGTGAAGACCACTGTCGGGTGGAATAGTTCCAGAAGTTGAAGTAGTAATGGTTGTTATTTGATTGTTGGTTTGAGAATTCCACGATTGTTCCCAGTTGTACATGGACGAACTGTGTCTCTTCGCATGTAAAGGTTTATGTTGAGGGGCACCTGGAATGGACCAATTGGCCACTTGACCCGGTGCCAGGAGGATAGATGTGAGAAGCAGTATATAAGTGATCATAATTGGAAACTCCCAACTTTAAGAATCGGCACCCGAAGTCTCCTGATACCAACTTGGAACTTAGGAGCAAAATCTGATTGGGTGGGATGGGTTGTTTCTGTCTGACCGCTAATATGAGAGTGATTTAAATATGGTAGTCAAAAAGTATCAAGTGTTAATGAATGACATATGTGGGCGTCCCCGTTAAGCACAAGACTAAAAATTAAGAAATAGGCTCCAGAAAGTCAAATCGCGAGAGAAAAGGATGTTGAAAGTATGAATCAGGCGTGGAATGGATTGATAAGGAAGTGGCAAGAAGGATAGTGTTTTCTCCAGAGAGAAGCTTCATCAAAAGGGTTCCTGAGGTGACAGCGTTGGAAAGGTTGATACTCTGGCAAAGGCCGGGGTAAGGTGTTTGGGAGGAGTAGCCCAAACAGCTTTCGATGGAAAAGACATATAGATCAACGACGACGGATTGTCCGATCGAAGGCATTTTGGTTCTGCTGACACACCTTGGCAAGCAAAGATGCCTATCCTAATCTCCGTATGAGAAGGTAGTGCGATCGCCCCAGCGAAGCTTCGTGGTCTGCTACATGTTTGGTGATAGACTTGGCATGGGCGAGTTTCCAGAGCTCCTTGCCAGCCAGCAAGAGCAAAAAGTCGACGATCGTCTGGATTCGAAGGTTGCACAACACCAGGGGTACGGGAGCAGTCGGACCGAGCTCGGCGAGCTTTGTCGTCGATATGGAGGAGCACGTAGGTCAAAGAGGGTTAGACCAACTTGTTTCGTCTACAATGCACCCGGTAAAACCCACGACAGCAGAGGATGATCAGGCCAGGGACAGGACCCCCTCATTTCTCTTAACGCAGACGCCGTGTGCTCCATCAATTGGAAAATGTTCGATGGCCCCTGGCCAAAGAAAAGAGAATTATGTAACCCCACAGTCAGGTTGTAGCACAACGTAAGATTGGACAGACATCAAGGTCTTGACTTGAGTGATCGCAAACGCCAACAGCCCGATATAACAATATCAAGGCGGGAATGGTAAGCCTGTTGATGTCCCATATGACGATGGGGCATTAAAAGGTCGACTTACAAACTTGGACTGCTGATGCATTGGGCGCCAGTCGGGTTCCGGGACTGCGAAATTTTACTGTGCCATCGCCCGGAATCCCCTCAGCCGCAGTAGTATAAGTGTCGCCGTCGCAGCGGAAGTCTGTGTACTCGTGCCGGCCCTTACCCTCCGGCTTAACACCCCGTGGATAGCCGTCCTCATTTCAACCAGCAGAGCTTGGATGAGGACCTAATCAGCGGCGGCCTCAAAACATGATTGCATCACCTTGGATTTGGTAACACCGCTCATGAAATCAGTACTAGTAGCGGGCCGCCAAGTGGCAGGAAGATTATCAAGTTTCAAACTTGCTTATCACCTCCAGTTTCTGTCCACTCATCCTCCGATGTTGGATCAGGTTAGTCAAATTTGCTTCCCATCCGATAATAAGGCACGTCGGCTGAGGACCCAATGTTTTTCTGCCTTGAATCCAATGTCTTTTCAGGCTCAGCGGAAGAAAAGATCAGCAACACTGACCACCTGACCGAGTTCAAGTTGGACTTGCAAGATATTTAGGAGCGCTTGCATACCTGTGCCTTTCCTAGTAATTCTGAATGCATGCAATCCAAAAAAAAAAAATTAACATAGAATTCTCGATAATTGTGGCATGGCCGTCGTAAGACCCTACATGGCTGAACTAGACACCCTATGACAGAGAGATGAGATTCTGAGGATGCCACTTCCTCCTTAAGGATGCTCGCTTTGCGCCAGCCAGACCACACCAGCCTCTGGAAAAGAAAAAGCTTTAATGTAATGTGTGTTACTGTTGTTCAACAACTTCAGATTCTGAAGAAGATTAGCAACGCTCTCCCAAAGTTGCTTCCCCGTCTTCAACCAGGTCTTACGTTTCATTCAACTTTTTTCAGATCATCTGATAATTGCTCCTGAGTTTCTCGAAATCTCAAGTTTGCCTCAAACAGGACTTGTTTCTCACTTACTTGACTGCAAGATCAGACTCACATTAATGGGGGTCTCCATCCCGGGCTCAAAATAAGGGTTGTATAAATGGATATTGCAATGAAAAAGATATTAATTTAAATTTTTAAGTGAGAAAATAATGGGGTGAGACTTGTTGTTGTTGAAACCCCCTTTTGATCGGGCCCAAAAGCAAAAGCAAAAGCAAAAAACAAATGAAAACAAAAAACTTGGTCAAGTCTGGAAGAACTACTGAGAAAAGACCGGTAATCAACTCTAGTAATACAAGTTAGGGGGGGGGGGGCAGGTATGAATGTTTCTGGAAGAGACAGAAAGACTATGGACTGGCCGAGCCGACCGGGTACTCTGGGGAAACAGTCAAGGAACTCTACTAGGGCAACTCCTCTTCAAGTGACAGAAAGACAGTGTGAAGCTAGACGGGTAGATTCTTTTTACGGGCGTGGGCAGAGGCTGTTAAGCCGGTAATATGCATAGTTAGTCCGACACAAAAACAAACACACACACACAACACAAACAAACGAAGATGCAGCTTTCGAAAGCGATGCAGAAGGGTTAGACAGATGTACAAAAGAAGAAAAAAAAAGGGGGAGGAGGAAGCTGGCGCAATGAACGGGACCGAGTGACTGTGACAAGGAGTGAAGCTTCTGTAGACCGGACTGAGAAGCCGAGCCAACGGAGTGCCGGCCAAAAAAAAGTGAGGGGAATGCGAGACGGCCGTGTCAAACGTGCAAGTAAGTAGTTAGAGTCTTAAATGGTTTTAAAAAATGTGAGACATCTCAAGCAAGGAAGAAGAGGGAGAAGAGGAAACACAGGACATCCCACAGGCCACCTTGGATGAGCCACTCTTGGGTTTGACAGACAAGAGTTTTCTTTCAAGAGATGATTAAGAAGAAAGATAGCTCGAGAGTTTCACATGACTGTTGGTTTGTGCTGATCCGAGGGCGGATATGCGTGGGTGATATTGCCAAGACCTAGCGATAGCCGGTACGGGTTGGGCTCGAACATGGCTGGCGGCTGAGTTATAGAGGCATGTGAGATTCGATGAGCCTGGTAAGGTTGGGAGCCCTGTTTTGAAGAATGATTTTTTGAAAAACAATCAGGATAGATGCAATGAGCAGGGCAGGGAAATAGACGAACGTGTAGATCATTTCCGTAGGGTGCCTTCTGTGGACTCATAGCGCTGTGAGGTGTGCCGCTTCGCTCGGGCAGGTATGAAGGGTAATGCGAGTTCAGGGCAGGCCCGGGGTTAGGTGCTGTGGGGATCGAGTAAGCCTGGTAATCGTTTGCTCTTTTCTCACCGAACGCTGTGAGTGTGATTGGAACAATTCTAAGAAATCAATTTGGGTGTTGATAAAAGATATAGAAAGATAGAGGAGACGATGACTGACATGGCGGGCGGGGTGCAAAGACGTCCTCGTCGTACTCATCTAGCTTCTTGGCGAATCGCTTGCTAGGCCGGAACTTCCACTTTCTGATGATAGTCCAGAGCAAGAACAGTCCAGCGACACAGCCGGCAATGATAGCCATAAGCTTGATGGTAGTGGAACCGAAACCACTACTGCTGTCATCTGATTTATGGGGCGGTGTTTTGGGAGTCCTGTTAGGGTCAGGCTGTGCACTGGAGCTTGGTGAGGCAGCTGCAGCGGCTGCGGGATCGGAGGATGTAGGTGACTGTCCTTTGTTGGTAGGGGCGGGGGCGGCGGATGCGACGGGGGCTGGAGAGAGTGGAGATGTTGAGTTGCTGGTAGGCTGATTGGGGGCAGGACTAGAAGGAGTGAGTGGGCGGGTGGAGTTGTTCGGAGGAGGTGAGGGGGTGGAGGATGCGGCAGGTGAGGCGGGTGAGGGGGGAGGCGAACCGAGTAGGCCGGGTAGGAGAGGATCGCTGAGGGAAGGATCCTTGGGTTGGTTGTTGTTGGAGCTTGTTGGATCCTTGGGTGGATTGGGCTGAGGGGAAGGGGCGGGTGATGGTGAGGAAGGTGGTGCAGCTGGGTCGGCGGGTGATGGGGAGGTAGGGGTGCTTGGGCTGGTCTTGGTGGGATCCCAGCTGCGATTGTTGCCGGTTGGGTCGAGGAGTCCAGCTGGAAAGGGAGTGCTTCCGGTTTGATTTGGTAACTGGCGCCTGAGGAGCCGGGTTAGAGAATCGGTGCTGGGGTATGGGTCGAGTGGGGTGACAGCAGATAGGATGATTGATAGGAGTAGGAATGAGCAGGCCAGTCGGCTGATCACTGGTGGTTTGTGATGGAGGAAGGCTGGCATGCTGATGGTGGTGATTGGTAGGATAGGCTGATAAGGAGAAGAAGAAAGAGATGAGTGGTTTGTATATGGGTTGGAGTGTGGGAGTGGGGATGGGGGGAAGGGAGAGAGTGGAGTGCTGATTATAGCTGAAACGAGTGTGGATGGGGAGTAGTAGTAGCAGTAGTATGCAAGGGGTGGTTGTTGGTTACTACAAGTTTTGAGGGGTGAAGGGAGCAGTAGCGGGCTCGAGGGTGACTAAACTGTATGAGCGGGAAGGAGAAAAAGAAAAAGAAAAAAAAAGAAAAGGAAAAAGAAGACCAAGTGTAAAGAATCGGATGATGGTCACTCTTGATGGACTCATGGGGGGATGGATGACGAAGGGTCCAAGCGATGAGCGATGGATGCTGCTGGTGGCCAGGGAAGCATGAGATTGTGAAGACAACTGTCGACCGAGAACGACAAGCAAACTCAGAAGGGCTGCGAATACAACCTGACAGCTATCCCACATACACAAAAACCAAAAACCATCGACACACTCTCCAGGCTGATAGAGCTTCTCAAACACAAATCCTATCAATTCTCATCGATCGTATTATCATTATTACTTTTCCCCTCTTGTTCTCTATAATATTAAAAGATAAATGAATCAAAAATGTTCACAATGACAACAGAAAAAGAAAAAGAAAAAGAAAAAGAATGATCTCAATGGCAGGCCGAACAAAAGTAAAAATGGGTATATGTATACTTAATTAAGATGATGAGAAAATGAAGTGTTTTTTTTTTTGGATGTTTTCCAACCTCAATCATAATGGAGCACTTGATTTCTATCAGGGGAGGTGTGTTTTTCCTCACCAAACCGGTTGGTCAGAAAATAATCATAAGAATAAATAAATCAAGCCACCAACACAATCTCAGGAGAGCAAAAATCAAAACCTGGGGATACAAAGATGAGAAATGTTGTTTTTTTGTATTTTGAGGCGCGGAACCGCCTCGGATGATCAATTAGAATTGATGTTTTCTTTGAATAGGATGTGTAAGTCTTCGACTCTCCGTTTGGCCAATTCTTCTTTACTCAGAGTTTGACCTAGACTCATACTATTTATTTATTTTTTTGGAAAAAAAATGTAGGCGGTCTTGATAAGTCTCATAGAACGGCTAGCTGGAATTTGACTAGTTGTAAGCTTAGTTAGAGAGATAGCTTACTTTGCAAGTTCGGTTTTCCGTTTTTGAATCTAAGAGAAAACAAAAAAAAACACATGGGACACATGATGAGACAGGTTGCTTTCAAAAATTAAGAAGATCAAATAAGATCTACCTCGAGCATGTTTTGTTCGACCGACCCCGAGATGATGTATCGAATCATCCTTACCGGCTTGGTTTGGCCGAGACGATGAACTCGATCGACGGCTTGGTTCTCGACCGCCGGGTTCCAGAACGGTTCCTATATTAGATAGCAAGGGTTCAATTCCCTAATTAAATTCAAACAAGCAAACAGTCTCTATCCAGGGAAGATGCTGACCATCAAATATACACGTTGAGCGCACGTCAGGTTCAAGCCTACCCCACCTGCCCGCAAACTGACCAATAAGACCTCGCACTTCGGGTCGGCCTTGAGAGCCTCCATACTGCGATTCCTTTCGGCTCGACTCATCGTACCATCGAGCTTCTTATACTGAATATTGAACTCGTCGAAAGCACTAGCAATCCTATAGTGTCCATAAAGATCCAACACATCAATCATCGTCACCCACCAAGAATCCCCAGAAGAAGTTATACATAAGAAAAAGAAAAAAAAAACATAGCGAAAGGGTGGACATACTTGTCTAAAAGCTTCGTCCACTGGCTGAAAACGACACTCTTGACGACGGCACCTTTGGTCGGCTTGAAGTCGGCATCGGGATCATTAGGATTTGACTCCTCATTGAACATCGGATCTTGTGGGGCAAAGTTGGCAGAAGCAGGATTGGCACGACTAAAGGGCAAGAGGTCCAAGATCAATTGCGAGATCTTAGTTCCATGTTTCAACATCGGACTCGATCCTTTCTCCTCAATCAGGGACGCCACCGTCCTCGGTTTACGCTCCTTCGTTTCCAGGCTGACTTCTTCTTCGGCCTTGACGACCGGCAACGAAGACGGCTCGACGGCTTTCATCTTCTGTGTCGCTTTAGACTTGCGCGAGCGAGCCTTAGAGGCTCCGTTCGAAGCTGGACCGGATGTGATGCTTCCAGTGTCATCGGCTGTGAGCTCTTCTAATTGTAGATTTTTCTGGAGCTCAACCGCTGAGATCTCGGCGATATCACTACTGGGGTTCAGCTGTTGTAAGCAAACCGAACAGTCTAACAACACTTCTTCCTTATGTTCACCCTGTATCCTCAGTCCAGAACACAAGCGTTCACGGTAACATTGTAGACAGAACAGATGTTGACATCGGGTGATCACCGATATCGACTGGGATTCTTTGGCATCAGTGTTTTCGGGGACCTTGGAGATCGCACTTGAATGCTGCTGTTGTTTGGGATTGTTGTTGTTTGACTTCTTCCGTCCCCGCTTAGATCCGGTTGCTTGAGGTGCTTTGATGTCTTCGACCTCTTCTTCATTCTCCCCCGTTGAGGCCGAGATCGCCTCTCTTCCGCATTCACTACATTGAGTCGCACCGGTATCACGCATCAAGATCAGCAGATGGATCGCGTTGGACCTCGAGAATCCTTCCTGCTCGATCTGTCTTGCCAAATCGAGCCCCTTTCCTGATTGAGTCTCTGCATCCAATACCAAGCCTACGTGCGCACAGATCTGTCTCAACCTCAGTAGCTCCTGTAAGATTGAGCAATAGTTCTTCAGGACGGTGTCTTGACTTTTGAGAGTCATGAAAGTCTGACGACTACGCTGATGGTACATCGAATAGAATTCCTTTTCAGTCTCGTTGAGTTCAAGATAAACGATATCATCCTTCTTAGGGGGCAATGTCAAGATCGGTTTCCCGTGCTTGTCAGAGCTTTGCTTGGTCCGCCTGAGAGCGATATGTCGCATGATTAATTGTAGCCGCGAGACTCCGAGAGGCTCACCTAGTCGGGCTGGGTGACCAATGTGGGTTGTCCAGACAGCCCGGTCAGTGAATGGTTCAAGACGGAGGAAGCAGACTAACGAAAATAAATCATTGAGTGAGTTTTGAAGGGGTGTTCCAGTCAAACAGACTCTTCGTTCGGCTAACAGATCACATGCCGCCTTAGATTGAGTGGTCGTATGCTCTTTGATCATACTGTGAAGAATTTACAAGGTTGATTAATCAGTTGAATACCAAAATTGTGAATCGAGGAGGCGGGGGGGGGGGGACTCACTGAGCCTCATCAAGGACCACACGAAACCACTCGACAGCTTGTAATGGACTAAGCAATCCATCACCTTTCCGTTTCCGTTTCAGTTTTCCTCGGCTTTTGGCCTGAGTCTTTTCAGGGTTTCCGTTAAGGATCTGAATCGATCCACCTTCGGCATCCACTTCTTCTACACCGTCACTGCTCTCATTACCATCCTCGGCTTCCTTGATCACCCGATTCTGACGCGAGAATTCGTAGCCTAGGAGCGAGTAGGTGGTGATCACGACGTCATGATCAGCAAGCACATGAGGATCGCTAGTCCGTCCATTCCCGTGATAGACACAGACTGACAGCGATGACTTTGAAGGAGCGCTCGAACTCGAACTTCCGTCGGCCGCTGGTGTGGGTATCTTGCGGACGTGTTCCTCGATCTGACTCTCCCAATTCTGGACGGTCGAGAGGGGACAGACGATCAGGGTGGCTCTCGATTTGACTTTGATGAGATGAGAGCGGTCATGATTTGCTATGCGTTTCTTAGCAGCCAGGGCACCTTCCTTTTTTTGGGTGGCTGTCGACTGAGTAGACGTACCCACCAGGCTGATCTTGGAAGTTTGAGCTGATAGGCTACCGCCAGTGATCGCGTCAGATTGGGAGCGTTTGGCAATCCCTCCAGAATTTTTATCGTTGTTACGAGGTGGATTATCATTATTAGGCTGGATGACAGGTCTGATGATCGGTGATTTGGCAAATTCAATAGAAGCTTGGTGGGTAGTACTGATGAGCGAGATGATCGAGATAGTCTTGCCAAGCCCCATGTCGTCGGCCAAGATGGCTCCTCTACACTGGGGTGGGGTCTCTTTACCGATCTGCTGGATTCCAGTGACGACGTTCATCCAACCGACGTGTCGGCCGTAGGTATCTCGAGTTTTCTTCCATAGGGATACCAAGTTTTCCTCATCCTCCTTCTCTAGGGCTTTTCTCTCAGTGGGATTCCTGGCGGATTTGAGATCTGGGGGGACGACTTTCAGCGTTTCACGATCGAGCATGAATGATAGGGCCTGTTTCTGGTGAGGGTAGAGGGAGGTGATGATCATGTGACCGGGTTCGGTTTCATCTAAATCGACCCCACTGGCCAAGCTCTTGAAGATCGTAGCCACCTGTTGCTGGGTATCACAGACCTGGAAGTTGTTTCTTGAGATTGGAGTGGTCGAATAGGGTAGGTTGGGACCCAGCAGACGTTGGCGGATGCTATCGAGTGCTTCGCGAGGTTGAGATGAGTGAGGGTTATCGTAGAGACATCCTAGATGCATTTCGGAGTGATAGCTGACTGGATGTTCTAATGAGACGCCGGATCGACTTAGATAGGCAGCAACCGAGGAGATTGATTCGGGTAAACAGAAGAGTAGTAGTTGTAGGGGGAGCATCATCGGGTTCTGTTCTCCTCTTCTGATCACGCAGCATTCGATGAATAGCTGTCGACCATCACTTGAGGTGGTAGTAGTGGGCATAGACTGAGTGACTTTGGGCCCTCCTAAGCCGTTCGTCTCTGTGATTTCTGGGTCATCGGTCTCTGGGGTGTTACTGGTTTCTGAGTTGATTTTGGGAGAGGAGGAAGGTTGAGGTTGAATGATTCCGTTGGGCGTCCAGCCACCGACGGCACTACCGCCGCTGAATGAATTGATAGGTCCTAAGAGTGGCCCAATCACATTTCCAATCTTTTGTTCGACTACTCCAAATTGTTCACCAGTCGGAGCTGAATAAATATTTTTTATTTATTTTTTGAAAAAAAGAGAGAGAGGAGTCAGTTGGGGTGCGTTGAGTAGCCGATGAGATGTGGTTTGCTCACCTAAAACTCTGAGGACCTCGTTGCTACCGTTAGGCTGATGACGAGAGATGCGGACTGGGATAGTTTGAGGACGAGCCCTTCCATCTGGGCCACATTGGTCGACTTGGAAGTCTTTTAGACGGTGTAGGATCAGGACGAGTGAGCTGAGTAGGCCGATACAGATCGGACGATGATTGTTGAGATTGGGTGAGGGTTGAGACGAGTTAGCTGGATATGAGTTTGATTGGTTGTTGTTGTTGTTGTTGGTTGAGTTGGTGGTTGGAGAGGATCGATGAGACCAGGGATGAGGTGATCGGTTGGCTGCTGCTGGTGTTGGGTTTGGGTTCATGGTTTGGTTGAGGTTGATGACTGGTGCTGAGTTGGTGCTGGTGGATGGGATGTTGAGGTGAGCGTATGGGGTCTTGGTGATAGATTGTGATCGGTTTGGTTGTTGTTGTTCCTTCTGTTCGGCTTGACGCCTGAGGATGGCTTGACTGAGTGCGAGTGCCTGTTGCTTGGTACCGAATCTGACTTTTTGATGGAGCAGGGGTGGTAGGGGTGGGAGTGTTGAGGTTGATGAGGATGGGATCGGCTGGTGATTAGGTTTGAGAGTGTTGGTTGTAGTTGGACTGGTTGATCGGGATGAGTGAGCAGTACTAGAAGGTTGTTGCTCTGGTTGTTGTTTTTGTTTTTGTTTTTGTTTTTGTTGTTGTTGGTTTTGTTGTTGTTTTTGTTGTTGTTCTGCTGTTGGTGATGAGAGTGGTGAGAGTGATGATGAGGGTGGTGATGGTGTTAGTTTTGGTCGTTTGTTTGGTCGGTCTTCATGGTCCTCTTCTTGGGTTGTTTTGGTGCTCGTCGACATCCTGATGATGATGAGATGATAAAAAGTTGAGGATCAGTTTGAAGGAATCAGGCTGACTGAAATAATTCAAGAAGAAGTCGATCGAAGCAGAAAAAAAAAAAAAAGGCTGGATTATGTAATCCAACTCAACCTATGTAGCCCCCCGGACACTAAATACAACAACAACCGAAAACCCAAGCTCATAGTCATCAACTTTACTCTGCTCAACCGAGCCAGAATTTATCTAGCTTCTCACTAAAATCCACACGAGCTCAAGGGGAACATACAGTTGCGCAAGGCATCCTGCCGTACAAGAAATACCCCCGGGGGACCCCCGTTCGGAATTTAAGGGCCTGGATTTTGGGTTTTCCCGACTTTTTTTGCCCAAGGTCCGCAGCAAATGGTGTGAGAAACGCGAACTGAGTGCTACAATTTGACACTTTTTGCTTTTTCTTTCTCACAAATTTGCTCACTTTGAAACCTCAGTCTCATTGCTTGTGAGTTCATCATGCTCAATCAAACTTCTTTGGGGCAAAACTAACTCAAAATTTTGTTTGGATAAATTAATTTCAAAGGAAATGGCAAAAAGCGAAGCTTCTAAGGCTCAATCACAACGGCGCCAAAGGGAGAAACATGCGGCCGAAGCCATGAAATTGGCCCTTGAATCCAAAAAAGCCAAACAAAAGAAGAAACACAACCCCGCCGCTGAGAGTTCATCAATTGATATCGAACTGGTTCCAACCGTTCTGGCCATATCTGATACGGAAGACGATCCGGCCCCGTTCAATTCAGGAAGCAAAGAAAATCCAGTCCTCCTCTCAGATGACGAAATTTTTTCCTTCCATGAGAACGAAATTGAAGAGATTGATCAAAACAACGAAGTAATGCGTTTCATAGCAGCCTTGCACGATTTGCCTGAAGATGAATCCCTTGAATGTAGCGATCAATACCTGGATTTGCTATGGCCTGTCTTCCGAAAATTTTCATCAACAGCAGAAAACATCCCAGCAAAGCGTATCCTGAAATCGGGCACCAGATGTTATCAACAACCGGTTCTGAACCCCAACTCTTTGGGGAAAAAACTAGTCCCTCGACCCCTTCCAAGGACAACTAAACACGACCGCAAAGTTCAAAGAGAGAAAGCCGTTGGAGCTCACAATAACATCATGGCCAACTGGCTCATCCAGAAGATTGAAGAGCCTGTCCTTCCTGTGGTCGATCCTGGCACTGTTTCTGTAATCAATCCGGACGTAGCTATTGACCCCAGTCTCCAGCCTGGGGTGGAAAATTCAACTTCTACAATAGGCGAAGAGAATCTTGAAAATGGATCGTACGATGAAGTTATGCTACGACTCACCAGCCAGCAAGGAAATTACCTCTCCGCCATAAAGGACGCCAAGATTACGAAATCTAGATACGCACTGGCGCAATGGAAAGAGCTCGATTCAGCCATCAAGTCTGCAACCTCTAGAATTCAGGAATGCATTAAGAAAGACAAAAAAATTATTTTTCCTAATTCAATTATCGATAATCTGATTGAATTCAATAATCTCCGATACAAATACATCCTTGATGGGACTAAATCACCCAGTCTCTCTGCTGCACTAGCTACTGCCCAGTCATCTATCCGGCGTCGTCCATCTGCTTCCATTGGCCCTCCTGAGCTCTCAAGTGGCATTCATCTTGCCCGGATCATCGCAAGGCAAGCCGAACATGCGGTGGACTTTAAAGAGATCCTGATAACTACAAGTGGCAACCGATACAATCACAAATCTCATCTTGATAATCCTGAAATCCGAAAATCACTCGTCTCATGGTCTGTGTTGCAAAAACCCGGCGAAGTCAACCCTTTAACCTTCCGTAAACATGTGATCGAAAATGTTCTTCCTCAATTTGGAATCAACGAAGCAATTTCTCGAACAACCGCAACTTCTTGGATGGTAAAGCTTGGCTTTACTGCTCAGGAATACAAAAAATCGATGTACTTTGATGGACATGAGAGACCGGACGTTGTTTTAGCTAGGAAGAAGTATATTGAAGATTATGAGATGTATCGAAAACGATCACGGACCTATGGCGGTGAAAACTTGGATGTTCCTGTTCAAATCGACCCCGAGGCCTTAGGACACATGAGGGAGACTGTATTTGTCTACCACGACGAATCAACTGTTCACGCAAAGGAAAGGCCAAAGCTTGCTTGGCTCCTCCCAGGAACCACCGAACTCCAATCAAAAAGTGATGGGAGATTGATTCACATCTCCGATTTTATTCTCGAAACCACCGGTCGACTCAAGATTTCCACTGAGCAACAAGAATTGGATGCTGCTACGGTCATATATCCCGGTTCCACTGGCGACAAGTGGTGGGACATGGATCAGCTATGTGAACAGGTATCTCAGAAAGCGATACCAATCTTTGAAGCCCTTCACCCAGATTCTCAGGCAGTTTTTGTGTTTGACTGCTCCTCAGCCCACGGAGCCTTTGCACGATCTGCCCTGAGGGTTCAAAATATGAACCTCAGCTCGGGAGGAAAGCAGGCCTCTCTCCGAAATAGCATCATCCCATCAGATGACCCTCATATTCCTCATCATCTTCGAGGCCAATGCCAAACGTTCAATTTCGATCTTTCGCATCCAGACCCCCAAAAAGCTGGACAGCCAAAAGGAGTCCAAGTCATTCTAGAGGAAAGAGGTCTCTGGCATTACTACACACAGAAAACTTGTGATTCAGGCAAGAAGGCTTTGCGATTTCGATGTACTAGCTGCTCAACATCAAACCGCAAAAAGGATGCGATCGCTCAAGCAGCCAGACTCATCCGAGAGGCCGAAGCAAACGGCTACTTCTTAAGCGAGGAGCAGTGTGTCAGTGATATTCTATCAAGCAGCAACGAACCATCAAACGAAACTTCAGATCCAACCGAAGAAGAAATCAACTGCTGCTGCTGGTCTAAGATACTCTCGCTTCAATCTGACTTTGTCAACGAGAGACCTCTCTTACAATCGATCGTTGAAGATGCTGGACATGTGTGCATGTTCCTACCTAAATTCCATTGCGAGCTCAATCCAATCGAGCTTTTTTGGTCTTATGTAAAGCAGGGTAAGTTGAAACTGTCTTTCACTTGATTCTACATTCATATTGACATATATTATTTTTACCAGCTTTCCGAAAAGAGACACACAAATGTGCGACTTTCAAAGCAAGCAAAGAACTGTTTGAGAAGATTCGACAAACTTGTCCACTCATCACTATAAGGAAGTATTTCCGACGCATCGACCGGCAGATTTCATCTTACAAGCAAGGCTACAACGGCCCACAATCTGCTGTTCTCATGAAGAAGTATACATCACATCGTTGTATCCCCCGCGAAGCTGCTATGAGAATCGATACTCTCACTTCTTGATTGCATTTCTTTATGCTTATCTTTTCCTTTCTTTTCCTTATCTTTTCCTTGCAAGAAATAAAAGATACATACATTCATTGTCTCAAGGATGAACGACCCATAGCGACTGGTCATAGCCGATCACTGAGGCTCCGCTGCTCATATCTATGGCATTACAGGTGTAATGTCCACATACATATGTACTTAGGCCATATAAATCCATACTTATGGCTGTATAGTATGTAGTGAGGCCCATGTTCGTAATCAGAGGCTCAAAAAAAAAAAAAAAAATCGGCTGGTCAGAATCGTTTGCCCTGATAGAATCTGAATCTATGGACTCTAAGGAGTCCAAAAATCGCATTTGCATGACATACTACCCGTATGGGCAGCCTCAGATCTGCCCCGCGTTTGAACTTTTTTTTTGCGGGCAAGGCTGTACGGCAGGATGCCTTGCGCAACTGTATACCATCTCATAGTACACCGCTTCAGCTCGAGAGGCCGCTGACATGAAACTACATATTGTAGCTAGAGTCGGCCATCTAAGTGTGGATCCTAGCGTATACTGACACTGATCAGCTTGGTTGGGTTGAGTATGTATGTGAATGTGCTTGAATAAGCTCACCAGGCTCATGGGATGATCTCAACAATATGTACTGAATGGATTCCACTGCAACTGCATTGATTCACAGCTGCAAACATCTTTGAAAAGAGACCCTCAAGCTTGCTGAATTAGCAAAATGATTGGGTACTGTATCTCATTCATCAATTAGATTTTGAGGGGGGAAGCAAAAGTAGTTTGATTCACAAGACAAGTAGTTCTTCTTCCATTTTCCCTGGCATTCTCTGAAGACTGTCCCTAATTTCATGGCATATTGTAATTAGGTCCAAGTGTTGAAAATCAACCATCCCAAATCCAAAAACAATCAGCCCTTGAAGCTACTGGTGTAAGATACCATCAGTCCAATGGTACTCTTCTCATTTCTAAATTACTGAGGTCTCATTTCTAAATTACTGAGGGAATGGCATACTTATGGTGACACATAGCAAGTAATACCAGAACTGATGTATTTATTGGAATCAAAGTAAGATGAGTTTTTTGGGACAGGGGGGGGGGGGGTCTGGTGCCTTCCTTGAAGCTGCAGTGAACAAATCTCATCCAATGGTTCACCCTTGAAAATCCACATGAGAATTCTCAGACAATCAAACATTTTGGATGGAATTTGAGTAACAGCCCAACTTTGGAGAAAGTTTCTGCGTGTCAACTGGCAGCAGTTCCTTGAGATTTTTTTCACAGTGCATAGCCAGCATTTACAAAATTGATTTCCTGAGACTGCCTTATTTTCAATATTATTGTAAGATAGTTGCTCAAGAGCTTGGGGTTCATTGCCTAGAGAGATAGAAACTACATATATTCTATGTAAATGCTTTGCCACTGGCACAATTGAACATCACAGGACTCGGCATAAACATACCAATGTCCTAACAAATATATTTAAGTGTATTGGAAATTAATTCAATTCCAGCTAATTTTACTTGAGAATTATGATACTGGAGGACTTCCCATTGATATCTGTAGAAACTACAGAGTCAGATTTAGACCCACTGAGCTCATATTTTGAGGGGAGATCTGATTCATGGGGTCACAAATCTGCTTTTAGGGGATACAGAACCAACACATCTCACTGAGCCAACTGGGTTGATTCTTCCTCAGCAAGTTGGCTGAATACTGTGAATAAAAGAATAAATGAATGCTGGAGCTGTGTGGGAGGCAGGGTCTTGTGTACTGTTATTGTAGCAACACCTCCATCAAAAAGATAGAAAAACCTTGTCTTTATTGATGATGATTTTTCCAATTTTGTTTAGTTTGTGTTTTGCCTTTCCTCTCTCTCTCTCTCATTTACTGTTCTGCTTCCTCCTGTTACCTATCTTTTGCGCACTGTGACACATGCGTATGTAGTTACCTTAGGCCTGCAGGGGTAGGAGGATGCTCTCCTCATCCTTCCATCCTCTGGCTCTATCTGGCCTAGTTCACTACTACATTTTTTATGCTGCATTGCCTGACTGAAATACTTCAAAGGGAAAATCTTGAGCATCAAATTCTGAACCATTTTCTTTCAGTCCTGATTGATAGAATATACTACAGCTCCAATAAAATAAATTAATACCATTTTGTAGTCCATAAATGACAGATGAGAGTGAATCATGTGTTAAGATTAAGTTTGGAATTTGGAAACAAAAATGAAAAAAACAAATTCAGCTTCTGAGGCTGCTTGTGCTTAATTTTACAGAAAAAAACCACTAGCATTCAAATATTGAAATCCTTGTGATTTGAGCACACTGTATATCTGTTTTGAATCATTGGCTGAAATTTGCCATATATACTGCAATGACATTGTGTTTTATAATTCAAGTTATGATTGAAAGTAGCTAATGGCACCAATTGAGCTTACAATCCAATGCAGTTCTTGGATCATTAATTCATCTTTATTTTGAAGCATCCAATCACCAACTGTAGCTGTACGGCAAGCCAGATTGTTGGAATTTGTTAATAGCTACAATATTATAACTTGCAGAAGCACCTTTCATGTGGTCCCTTGGCCATCATTGCTTTTTTGGCTGGGGTTTTTGTTGCAGAAAGATACTTGTTGAGATCTGATCTCTCTCCCTCTAAACTCTAGCAGTGTTTTCTCTAATGAAGACTTGATTATGTAATCAGTTGCTTTCGGAATGACATCATCTGAACATCCCAGCGCATTGTACTTATATATTGGTCCTTTTCTTTGAAATCTCTTTCTTCCTTCCTCATGACTCCAGAAACCTAAATCATTATTTCTTCATCATAAGGTTATATTCTCTCTTAAACTGGTCTCATCACTGTCATCCTCTCCTCTTCATATTGAACGACTTCTACTGTCTTAACACTATCATCACTTTCCTTGACTTCAAATCATCTCCTTTCATTGCAAACATTTTCCCTTCTACTCAACACTCCGCCAACTCACGTACTCTTGCAGCATCTCATTTCCTTGCGAATGTTTTCCCTTTGACTTGACACTCCACCAACTCATGTGCTCTCGCAGATGTCAAACAAACTTCCCATCATTGTAGGTTCTGATCTTGTCTTGGACCTTTCTCAATTGGATCACATTCTCATCTGACATTCTTTTATCATTAGTTGTGTTATTGTGTCTTTTCTTTCCTTGTTGTTGTCACATCTCTTATTGAACATTGCTCCTGCCTCAAGGTATCTTTCATTTTTCTTTATATTGTATTTTTTAAGGTTTTACTGATTCAGAAATACAATCCTTAAGTTTGATACTTAACAATACTTTTGTCAACACTTCTTCTTGGAAGGATCCAAGTCTTCTTCTCATACAATTCATTTAATGGATGATTTATCCAGTACTGGGTGATGATGATGCCACTGGCACAGCCCACTACATTGGATACATAATCAAGGACTTTGTCAATCTGTAATTGATTTCAATTCAGAATGCCTAATCCTAAATCCCAAAATCTCTTTGGTGATGAGAATTGTGTGACATCAAGTTCTCATTTGAAAACAGGGTTTGAAACTTAGCTTAAGGAATAATCATTACAGACCAACAGGAAGTTCTCCACCATTAGCAGGGTTCACATTTGAATTTTTTGCTTCTGACCCTACTTAAAATTTGTTCTGGTCACTTTGTTTTATCATAAAATTGAGAACTTGCTGAGCACCCTCTGGACACAACAACTCAACTGAGCAACACGGTACACCTACATGTTGCTGAGGTGTTGTACAGGACCCAAAGAAAAGATCCTGAGGTCCTCGACTCGATCGGTCACATGCTGGTAAAGTGAGTAACAAAAAATGCTTAAAAAGCTTATTTCATGCGTTTCTGAGTGTCAGGTTTATGCTACTTACGGTGTAGGGCTGTAGTGCTATAACCGTAGACTAAGAGATAACGATTAAGAATGAAGATTATTTTTCAATCAAGGCTCAGGACAAAGATGCGCTTGAGGCTTACTTGAGCTTCCTGCAGCTAATAGCCAGGGCAATCCAAGCGGCGACAGATATTCGAGTTGGGAACAAACAGAGAAAGGATAACAGGCAATAGATAACAGACCAGTGTTACCTAGGCTTGTACCGGGGTGATGAGATTTATGTGCAGTAATGACTAGGATAAAAGTAAGCTAATCTTCCAAGACAAGAGGTATTTCTAAATTGTAACTTTTAGTGAATGCTCTTTGGATTGGTAGGATTGATTGCATCTTTTATTTTGACTAGTAATTTTTGCTGCTGAAAAAAGGAAAAAGCTATCCTTCATTGTTTGGTCTACCTTATTACAATTTTCTAACTCTACATACTTATAATTATGTGTTATTTTTAGGGGGTTGGAAAAACGACTCCCAAAAATTTGACGACGACTCCCATTTTGGTTGAGGGGTTGTCGGACGGGAGTCGTCTTTCCAATTCCCCCTGGGGGATTGGGAGTCGTCTTTCGATTTCCCTCTGGGGGGATTGGGAGTCGGACTTCCGAATCCAATTTTAATTTATTTTAATTTTTTTGGGGTGGGAGTCGGG